AAGCAACAAATTATACAAATTTTTTCTAAGAACAATATCAGATTTTCAGAAGACCATATGTAAGTATTTCTGGAATGAAATGGAACTCAGAATAGGGCCTGATTTGAGCCACCAAAAAGCAACTTAGGGGCACATTTTACATGTACTACTCTCTAGCAGAATTTTGTTATCAGGTGACATGGCTACAAAGATAGCACTTCCAACTATGAACAGCTGGAGAGAAACTGCTGTTTGATGGAAGAAGACAAGAATTTCCACAGTTCTTATTCCTGCACTTGCAGTAGAAACAGAACACGGCCTGGCAGTGTACAGGATGATCCACAAATAGGTTCTAAAATAAATAAATACTATCTTGATAATTAGAGACTATGTAGCAGCAAAAACGAATGTCAATGGAACACAGATTTGACTGGAGATAATGAAGGCAAGTCCTGGATTTGTTCAGAGCTGACAGGAATGAGTAACTACGGTGTAATTAAATAACACCAGATGCCCCAATAACACAGTTCAAATTTCAGTTACCTCTATTCGTGAACTGTTGAGTATCTGCATAAAGTACAACTCTGTGGCTAGCTCTTCAGTCCACAAATACCTAGGTAAATAAAGGGTGCACATCTTGGTCAGTGGCCAATCACATCACTTCTTTCAAAGCCTGTCGGTGATTGGTCACTGTGCATCGTGCAGTGTGATATGTATCCTGTTCGGTTTGCACAGACAGGAAGCATGTCCGTGTTGTGTTGCCTCTTTACATCCCAAAGAGAAACTTGTGACATTTTACAAAAATAGACAATTAAGAAAGATCTGGCTAACAAGGACGAAACTGCAGCGTGTAAAAAAAAAAAAAAAATCTCAATCAAATTTAAAGGGAGTTATAGAAGCAAGAGCTGACTGTGGGAATGTGGACGCTGCCACTGGCTGGGACTCTAGGTCAGCAATCAGAGGATCATGTGATAGCAAATGTCTTCAAATAAATGAGGAAAGCAGTTATGACAAAAAGGAGAACAATGTGGCACTGGGGAAAAAACCTCACTTTAAAGCAACT